ATCGCGCGCCATTGTGACGAGCTTGCGCACACGGCGGGATGTTGGGATGGAAAGAGTGTTGGTCCGAAACGAGTGAAGCGATGCGCGCCGCGGTGGCTGATAGCGAAAGAGAGTGTGGGTGACCGCGTCGCCGGGCGGGAAGGGAGTGGATGGATGTTGACGCGGGGCGGGGAGGGATGGCGATGGAGGTGCGAATGGTGGCCGGTGCTGGCGAGCGTCGGTCGGAAATTGCAACGCGGCGCTGCCAAAGGCGAGACAGAAGAGTGCCGTCACGCAGGGGGGGCCAAAAGGCTGCAAGCGACGGCGGTGGGTGGGCCGGGGCGAGAGTGCAGCCCGGTGGCAGGGCAGTTGCAGCGCAGCCCAACGCAGTGCACCCAAATGCGACCTTTCTGTGGAATGCAGGCGCGAACTTTTGGCTGCACGCATCTCGCCTGTCTCTCTTCTTTTGCTGCTGCTTCCTGCTCTCTGCTGGCCCGCTTCTGCTTCTGCTTGCTTGGCTCGGTCGCTCCTTCTGCACAGATCGCCCTCGGATGCGCGACACATCTTGGTCCTCCTTGCGCAGCCACGCCCGCTCGAAGCATCGCCACAAGGCAGTGTACTGTACCCCCTCCTCGCCTCCAACAGTGTATGCTTCTGAAAGCGATGCTTCCTCTTCGCCAGATGCAACCGACCAAGCAACGCCCGCACGTTGCCTTCATCCCGCTGCATGAGGCGATGCACCGATGCAGGGGTGTGTGCCGCACACTCGGACGTCTCGCAATTTCGCCCATCCACCCACCTCCGAGCCAAAAACAAAAACAGCACCGCAGCCCGCCTCGGCTTTCCATCTCCGGCTCCAACACGCCCGATCGCTCTAACACCCTTACATCCGGGCCAAAATTTTAATCTCACACACTGAAACTCTCCGCTTCTTGTGCGCCGGCTTCTCTCCTCTCTCGGTGTTCAGCCTTCCAAGCTATAGACTTGAATGAGTGTCAATGTGGAATCGGAGCTCTATTGCCTACGACTGCAGCTACTACTTCTTCATGCGCTGGCGCTCGGCACGCTGCGTCTTGCGCAGCTTCTTGTACTTGTGCTTGCGGATCTTCTTCCTGCGCTTCCTGCGCACGCTGTCCATCATGATGTTGTGCGCCTCCAGCAGCGGGCTCACCTTGACGCGCTTGCCTGCGCGCCCCAAAGACGGCTCCAGCTCCGCATCCAGCTTGGTCGTATCCACCACCGCGTCCATGCGCGAGGGGTCGTCCAGCGCCACCGCATCCATCTGCGCCACCAGCTTGTCCCACTTGAGCGCCAGCGGCAGCGTCGTCTGCACCAACGCATGCGACAGCATCAGGTTCGGGTCGTCGTCCGTGAAAAACACGCTGTTGGCCACGTGCGGCCCAGCCACCGAGCGCGCCTCCAGCTCGCCGATCGCTTCGCCCTCCGCTTCACCAGCCACGGGTGCAGCCGGCGCCTCGTACGCTCGGCCCTTCTCCGCCAGGTACGTCGCCACGCCGCGCGACCACTCGGCCGACGGACCGTGCGGCTCGCCCAGGATGATCAGATCCGCCTCGGCTCCCAGCTTGCGCGCCGTCTCGGGATCCTCGCCGCGGTCCAGCGCATTCTGCACCGCCTCCTCCTCCTCTTCGCGCATCCTCTCCTCCTCCTCCAGCTTGGCCGACTCCACCGCCACCCGATCCGACTCTGGGTGGAAGCTCGACACGAGCCATCGCGTAGCACCGCCGTTGTTGGCTGCCACATTCGTCTCAGCCTCGATGCCTGCCAGGCCGTCGATCAGCTCGCCAAATCGCTCCGGTGCGATGGTGCGCATCCTGCGCCTCCACTGCGGCTGCGACTCGCCCGAAAAGTTACCAAACGTGGCGAGCGATCCGTCCGTAGTAAAGATGGCAGTGAGAGAGCCGCCCGATGGCGACGTCGATGATCCAAAGCCACCGGCACGCTTGGGGCGCGGCGGCAGCATCTCGTGCTGCAGAAGCGGGCGTTCGTTGGTGAAGAAGCTCTCCCACGCCACGCTCGCGAGCGTCGATGGTGGTGGGTTGGCAGGGTTGACACCGGCCTTGGCGAGGCGCAGGCCGTTCGACTTGACTTTGACCAGCGGCGAAGCCGTGCCCGATGCCATGTGCTTATCGGCGGTCGCGCCTTTCGAGGCGGCCGAGGACGACGAAGCGGCCGAGCCGCTGTTGCCCGACGACGACGATCCTCCTGCATTGCCTGGTGCCGATGCGTTTCCGGACGACTTGGAAGACGAGAGCACCGATGACGACACTCGACGCGACGACGAGCGCGTGGAGCGCGGGCCGCAGCTCGAGATGAAGCCGCGAGCCGACGCCGAAGAGGTGCTGATGGCAGATGCGGCGGCGGAGAGTGCTGGCGCCGTGCTCTTGTGTGTGCCGAGCTGCCTCAGCAGCGAGCGCGCGTGAATCGAACGGCCGCGCATGGTTGCCTGGCAGCGCTGCCGAAAAGAGCTTCGAATGTGCTGCTGCGCCCTGCGGCCTAAAGAAAACGATCGAAAGTGGGCGTAGACTGAAGCCTCAAAAGCGTGAGAAACTGTGATTGGTGAAGTGTGGTGTTGAAATGTGGTGGTTGAAAGGTGTGAGATGACGATCGTAGGTGGAGAGCTGAGTTGCTGCGCTGTGCTGTGTTTGCGCCGCAGCGGACATCGGCGTGGCGCGCTGTCGCGATAAGACCCGAGGGCAGCCAGCCCCTTTGCCCCTGCCCTGGCTCTGGCTCATAAGGCCCACTTTGCAGCTCATTTTCAGCTGCGCAAAAAATCAGCGCCGCGTGCTGATTCGCCGGTTGGGCTTGGACTGCTGAGCAGCCACGGCCCTTTTTTGGGCAGCTGGTTCTGGGAGTCGAGCTTCGATCACATTCGAGTCTTAATTTTGCGCCTGTAGGCCGCTGCTTTGCTGCTGCTGCCGAGCCACGCTCGGAGCTGGCCGTAGCCTCCACCGCCGATGCCGACGCTGTTCATCTGGCTTGCAAGGCGCACCTGCTGTGCATCGCCACCAGCTGCAATACCCTCAGCTTCTGTCGGACCTCGCCCGCAGTCATACAGTTAAAGCTGCACAAGAGCAAAGGGAATCTTGGACTACGATTGATGGAAAGGGGTAAAAATACAAGGCACGTACGGCCGTCAATGTGAAAGGAAGGCTTGCTCTGCGATCAGGCCTGCGCGGCGGCCATCTGGCGCCCGATGATCGGAGCTGCGGAGCTGAGGCCGTCGATGTCGCCGTACTCGTCGGACTCGCTCATAAACTGCTCGGCGTGCTCCTTGAGGTACTGGACGCTGCGCTTCTCGTCGACAAAGAGGTTGTACACCCTGCGCACGTCGACCACCTCGACGGCGTCGGCCTTTCTGCGCTTGGCAGCCAGGTTGGCCGTGGTGATGAGGTTGATGGCGTATCGTAGCGACGTTTCGGACGCCATGCGCGTCAGCACCTCGAGCGCCTCGGGCTTCAGCGACACCTCCTCCTCGGCGGCGCGGATGGTGAGGATCTGCTTGAGGTCGTCCAGCTCGTACGGCTTGGTGCTAATGATGAGCACGCGGTCGAGCAGGTCGATGGGCATGCCGTGCGGCGAGCGGAAGCGCGTGCCGCGGATACGGCAGATGCCGCGGTTGGACGCCATGATGACGAGCGGCGCCAGCTCCGACTCGAGCGCGCGGTTGAGGAAGGAGAAGCACTCGATGTCGAGCATGTGCACCTCGTCGATGAACAGCACGCCCGGCACGATCTCGGCCTTGCCCTCCTCGCGCCACTCGCCCACCTTGGTGTTGATCTGGTCGCGCAGCTCGGGCTTGATCTCGCCCGTGTCGCCCGAGAAGAGCGCAAGGAAGCCCTGCGTGCGCGAGTTGATCACGTCGATCTCGTGCAGCGACACCGTGTGCACCACATCCTTCCTGCGCTGCAGCTCGCCTTCGGGGCACTGCACAAACTTGGTGTCGCTGCCCATGGCGTCGTAGTCGCGCGCGCGCGTAAAGCTGCGGCCGAGCTTGGTGATGCGGCCGCTCGCCTTGTCAATGGCAATCACGTCGCCCGCCGTGATCTTCTCCTTTTGGAGCGAGTCGATCATCTTGTTGCCCAGCTCGTAGATCGTCTCCATGTCGGTGGTCTTGATGGTCAGCTTGCCCGTCTTGGTGGCGCCAGTGAGCGAGCGGTCGATCTGGATCTCGACCACCTCGCCCTCGACCACCTCGGCCTCCTCGCGGATGCGCACGCCGATTGAGCGTCGGAACGCCTGCATCAGTGCCTCGGTCTTGCTCATCTCGAGCGAGAATACCTCGGACGCCGAAAGCATGGTGAAGGGAACGTCGGAGCCGAGCGTCTGTGCCATGCCCATCGCGATGGCCGTCTTTCCTGTGCTGGGCGGGCCCGCCATGAGGATGGCACGGCCGGCGATACGGCCATCCTGCACCATCTTGACGATGAGACCGGCAGCCTTTCGGGCGGCACGCTGGCCCACCATGCCTTGCGACGACGGACGCGGCTCGAGCTGGTCATCGAGGCCGAGACCCTTGACGTGCGAGTGCGCGCCGATGCGCTCGAGCGTCTGGATGGTCTGTTCTGAGGTGGTGCTGATCTGCGCCATGATGAGATGATTGCCTGTCGCTGGTTGAAGCCGATCAACGAGGCGGATGGATGGTGGAAGCCGAGATGATGGACAAGGCTCGAGTCGGTTGGAAATGCGAATCTTCGCAGAGCCGCCGTGCAAAAGTCGAAATCTGCCAAAATCCACAGCAGCAGAACGCGTCTTCCAACCTCCACCGCTCCACTGCGCCCGCCAGGAAGATCCAAGCACTGAGCCCACAGAACAGCAGAAGAAGCTCGGACCAACACGCACCAACACTTTGCTGCCTCTTCCCACCCATCGACGCTCCGCCTCCTCAACCATCAACTGCATTCTTCTCCACCGCCACTCGCCGTGTGCACGCCATGACGGCAGTAGGCTCTGCACCGGGCCCATCAGAGCCATCTGCACTGCCATCATCACCCTCCGCCTTGCCCGACGCACAAGATGGCCGCCAACACCACACCCTGCCTTTCCCCGATGTCGCACAGCTGACCAGCCGCTCGTCGATCGTCCAGGCACTCTCCGAGCTCTCACGCCATTCTTCGGAGCTCGACGACGAGCTTATGTCCCTATTCGAGGAGTCCGAGCCTGTCGTCGCCGACGCCCGCCGTTCGATCGCTTCGCTCACACCGCAGGTGCACCTCGTCCAGGAGGAGGCCGCCGTGCTCGACCGTCGACTCCAGGCCTCGGCCTCGGTTGCCAAGCGCATCTCCGAACGTGTACGGCTGCTCGATGAGGAGCGCAAGCGCATCGCACTCGCCGCCGAATGGGCCCGAAAGGTCGCCGAGCTCAAATCGTCGCTCTCGCTGCTCGCCGAGGCGGTCGAGCATCGCGACTGGGACATGGCCACCATGCACTGCCGTCGCGCCATGGCCATCGACCCTGCCATCCGCTCGTCCAGCTTTGCAGCTGCCGTTGTGCCCACCACAAATCTCCCCGAGCCGCCAGAGACGACGCTGCTCGAGCTGCGCAAAACCATGCTCACCGCTTTCACCGACGCCTTCATCCGATCCACCCAGAACAAGGACGAGAAGGAGGCCTCGCGCTTCTTCAAGCTGCTCCCACAGATCGGCTGGAAAAAGGAGGGCCTCGAAGTGTATAGCTCCTTCGCCCGGTCCATGGTGCGCGAAAAGGGCCGCGCCATCTCCGACTCGCTACTGCCAGGAAAGGCGCAGCATCCCACCCACTTTGCGCTGCTGCTCACGTCGCTCTTCGAGCACCTGGCCATGCTCATCGACATGCACCAGCCTGTCGTCGACCGCCACTACGGTGCTGGCAACTTTAGTCACGGCGTCATGCCTGGCCTCCAGGACGAGTGCGATCGTCTGGGCCACCGCATTATGGACTCGTGGCGTCAGGATCGTAACGTCCGCAGGCGGCTCGATGAGGTGCAGGCATATCGCTTTACAAGTGCGGCAATGGATGCCAAGACGCAGCACTCGACATTCAAGGCATCGTTCGGCGCGCCCGCAAGGACCGCCAGTCCCGCCGCGGGCTCGACGGCCAACAGCTCCTTCGACGAGCCCGCAGGTCCCGACGGCCGCGAAGTGGATCGCATCCTCACCGAGCTCGCTGCCATGTCTTCCCGCTGGGGCCTCTACCGCCGCTTTCTGCAGGGCCGGCTAGCGGACGGGGAGGAGAGCGACCGATCCGACGTGGAGCGACAGAGCTCGCTGGATAATCAGCATGCAGACCAGGCAGACGAGCCACTGAAGGATTTCCGCCGCTCCTCGGTCGACCGACGCGGCTCGATCGCTGGGTCGTTGGCAGAGGCAGATGCTGCGACAGATGTGCCGCCGGATCCGATCGATCATGCGGCCGTGTCGAAGCTCGGGCAGGAGGTGCTCGAGACGATGAAGGGCAGCTACATGCCCCTGGAAACGTGGTATCTGCGCAGCAGTCTGGAAAAGGCGTTTCGGATCGACCAGCCCGACACTACGGCACGGCCATACACGTCTTCGATTCTCGACGATGCCTTCTACGTCATCCGCACCGTGCTTGGGCGCATCCTGTCCACGGCGTCGCTGGGCACGCTCACGGACATGGTGCGCGTGGTCAAGACGACGCTCGAGCAGGAGTACATCGAGGTGATCGTGCGCAAGATGGAGACGCTCTGGCGCAGCATCTCGGGCTCGATGAGTGTCGATGGTCCACGCAAGGATGCGGCGAGTCGAGAGATGCGCACCGTCTTCATCACCTATCTCAACGTGCTCGATGTCAGTTCGCACTACATGTCGCGCGTCCTGGCCGAGGTGGGCAACGAGCAGTCTCTCGCAAGGCTGTTCGAGTCCAAAGAGATGGACGAGGCCTCGGCAGCGGTGGCGAGTCTCGGTCAGCTCGTGAATCGTTTTCGCTCTTCGCTGCGTACCGAGATCGAGCATATGTTTACGCAGCTTACCGCACCCAGGTTGCGCGGGATTCTGGTCGAGACGTATAGGGATGTGTCGTACGTGCTGGATGACGAGGGATACTCGGATGCAGAGTCGCGCGATCTGGTTCGACGCCGCTTCGTCAAGTCCTGGGAGCTCCTGCTCGTGCACTTCCGAGGCACTTTTACCCAGGCCAACCTCGACACGTACGTCGGCATGGCACTGGATGCACTGCTCAAGCCATGGGAAGCCATGGTGACGGGAATGAGATTTACGGAACTCGGCGCACTCAAGTTCGACAAGGACCTGCGCGCTCTCATCGGCTTCCTCACCACCCAGTCCAGCTTGCCCATCCGAGACCGATTCACGCGGCTCCAGCAGATCAGCTACGTGCTCAACCTCGACGCATCCGAACACGACGCCGACCTCTACCACAACGCCGTAGCTTCCGGCATCTCGTGGCGCCTCTCAATGGCCGAAGTCAAAACCGTGCGCGCCCTCCGCATCTCCTAAAAGCACTCTCACGCACAGTCGGACATTCCTGACCTGAATCAAGAGGCAATGGAGGAAGAAAAGTGTGCATTACAAGTACAGAGTCGCGAGGTATACCGAATCCAGGACAGAGACCAGTCGAGATGCTGCGCCGGGCTACGCCGGGAAGCGCTCGAGCTGGAGCGAGTTGGTGAGCGTGCTGATGTACAGCCTTACTGCCGTCTCGATAGCATCCTTCTGTCGCACCATCTTCTTCTGGTACGCCTCGTAGGCCTCTTCGAGCTCGGCCATCTTGGCCTCGATCTTTTCCGACTCGATGTTCTTTGCGTCGGCGGTGGCATTTTTGCGGTTGCGCTCCTGCTTGGCGTGTTCGAACTCGGCCTGGAGGTTGTCCATGCGCTTGGTGTGCTTGTCGGTGATGTCCATGAGGTTCTTGCGGTTGCGGTTCTGCTTGTCCTCGAGCCGCTTCATCTCGTACTCGGTCATCTCGAGCGAGTGCTTGAGCGACGCCAGCTGGTTGGTGATGCCCTGCGACAGCGCCTGCAGATCCGCCTGGTTCTGCACCTCCTCCTTGCCCTTGACCATCTCGAGGTTCACCTCGTGCATGGCGTTCATGCACGCGTCCAGGTCGTTGCTCAACGTGTCGAGCGTCTCGAGGTTGCGCTTGAACTCCTCGACCTTCTTGACCGTCTCTTGCAGCGAAAGCGTGTCCTTGTCCAGCTGCTCGGCGAGCTCGCGCACGCTGTTCTTCATCTTGCTGGGGCTCGACACGACGCGCGCCTCGAGGTACGTGATCTTTTCGTAGATCTGGAACTTGTCCTGCGCGAGCTCGGCGTGCTTGATGGCGAGCGTGTCCTTGCGCTTCTTGAGCTCCTCGAGCTCCTCCATGGTCTCCTTCTGCTGGTTGCGTGCTGCGAGCAGTTCGTCGGTGATCTCGGCGTTGACGCGCTGCAGCTCCTTGACTTTGGGCTCGTCGAGCTCGCGCTCCGCCTTGAAGCGCGCGAGCTCGGATCGCTGGCGGTCGATGTCGTCCTCGATCTCGTTGCGCTTGTTCTCCAGATCCTCGGATCCGGTGACGAGCTCCTCGAACTCGACGATGCGATCGGATCGGAAGCGGTAGAAGTTGACCAGCGCCGACATCTGGCGTCGGAAGCGCTTTGGATTGGGCCGTGTGAGGTCCTGGAGCGTAAAGTCGTAGAGCGTGGCGGCGTTCATCATGTCCTTGACCTCGCGGAAGAACATGAGCATCTGGAGACCATCCTCGTAGAGCTCGCTGTATTCCGCAGATCCGAGCGCCTCGTGACGGCGTCCATCCATCATTTCTGTTGTTGTGCCCGAAAGACACTCGAGAAAGGCGACGAACACGCGGTGCGCTACGTGTCCCTGTGGCTTTTGGAGGTCCTCGGGCGAGATTGACAGGCCCATCTCGGAGAGGACACCGAGCAGCTCATCGATCTTGACGACGGGGAAGGAAGAGTAGTTGCCGTCGCGGTTGCCCTTGACTGCATCGGGCGGGACACGCGCGGACGACATTGGATACGTGGGGTTGACGGCCGACGTCATGCTGAGAGGGTGGATGCACTGAGCGTGCCAGCTGGTCGTGCGTGTCGATTAGGATGCGCTTTATACAGATAGGTTGTCGAAGTGGATACGGTGGTGGTGATGGTTGGTATAGAAGGAGCAGTGGTGGCAGTGACGAGCTTGGATGTGGCTGTTGGACTCGGGCTGAGCCGCGCTGCCGGCCGATTGACCAAAATCCAGGCAGCGGAGGTGTTGTTCTCTGCGACTCGGCGCGGGCGCAATCGTGGAAATTGCTGGTTGAGACGACGAGAGACGCGCGAGGCAGAGTGTTGCTCTCTCCCAAAAATCAAAAGAAAGACGCGTTTGGCTGCCCTGCCCCTCCTCTGGCCCAACGCGAGGTTTCGCTGCATTTCAACCTCCAACACGCTGCGGCACGTGACCCCAGCCACTCCACATCTGCAACCGCCTTTCATTTCGTGCAGAGGCCAGCGCCCCCTTCCCTTCACATTCACGTCGGGCTGTGCAAGAGCATGGCACGGAAGGCGACTCGGCGCTCAACGGCGAAGCAAGCAGAAGGCGCGGAGCCCGATGGAGCCTCGACGAGCACTGACATTGATAGCGAGTCCGAGCTTGATGATGCCACCAAGGCTGCAGCAGTCTACAAGGATGCGGTGAATCTGCCTGCGCACCAAACCAAGCATCTCTCCGAACTGGTCTACCGCCTCCCGCGCATCGACACCGCCTTTCGACTGTTGCAGCGGAATGACACCAACAGCACCGGCTCCTCGCTCTGGCTTTCATCGCAGGTCCTGTCGGCCTTCCTGCTGCACACCTATGCCAAACCCCAGCTGAGGTCCGGCAGCAATGTGAAACGCAAGAGGATGCTGGAGCTCGGCTCTGGCACGGGGCTCCTCTCGCTGCTCATGGCTCGGCTCGGCTGGGACGTGGTAGCCACCGACATTGAGCCTGTCCTCGACTCGGTTCTGCGCCCCAACATTGACTCCGGGCTCTACCAGCTGGTCCATGAGGGTCATGCGGATCCGGAACAGATTCGCGTATGCAAGCTCGACTGGACAGCAGCTGAAGAGCCAAAGACTGAGAGTCTGCGTGGTGCTATCTCGGGGAACGATTCCATCAAGTCCTCTGGGGACTCTTCTGAGCCTCACCTAGATCTCATCGTCACCGCCGATACGATCTACGAGCCAGGTCTCATCCGACCGCTCTTATCGACCATCTCCCACTTCTATCGACGCCAGACCGATACCAAGCCCACAATTCTCTTAGCGCTTGAACGCAGAGACCCTGCACACATAGATCACGCTCTGCAGATTGCACGCGACGAGTTCAACCTCCCCTTGAAGCAGATCCCTGCCAAGCGCGTTCGCAAGATCTTTGATACCCTTGGCGACGGCACCACTTGGTCGCGAGACGACTGGAGCGGCGTCGAAATTTGGAACCTGTAGCTCAGACACACACTCTTCAAAAGTGCATCGATATAATCGCCACTCGACTCAGAGACACTGGTAGAGGGGAAAGCGTGAATAAATGACGAGGAAAGGACATTGGGCTTGGAGAAAAGGGAGGAAGAGGGGATCTACTCTGGAGCGACGATCGTTGAAGCAGCGATCGAAAGAATAACAGCCTCGGCGGCGACCGGTGACATTCTTGGCACACAGCTTAGAAAGCGGTGGGCAGAGACGAGCGTCGTTGGACGCTTAGTTCTTCTTGCCGTCGAAGACGTGGCAGTCGATGTAGTTGCCGAGCTTGGTGAGGTAGTAGTTGCTCATGATCTGGGGCGAGCAGTTGATGCAGTTGGCGTAGATGGTGTTGTCGTCCACCTGAATAAACTCAAAGTCAGGGTTGTTGTGGAAGGTGTGCAGGACAGTCTTGCGGTTCGAGATGAAAGCCTTGGGAGTGTTGCAGTGGCCGTAGAAGGGCTTAGCCTCCTGGAGCTCCTGAAGGTCGACGCCACGGGGCTGGGTGAAGAACTTCCAGTGGTGCGCGTGCTTGTGCTGCACCTCGGCCCACGAAACGGCCTTGACCTGGTAAGGGGCGGCCTCGGCGAGCATGGCACTGCCAACAACGGCGGAAAGAGCAACGAGGGCAGTGGAGAACTTCATCGTGAATGGAGAGTGAGATCGGTAGGAAAGAGCGAGAGATGGATAGGAAGTGTGGTGAGGATGGTTTGGAAAGGGGTGAACGGGGTCAGAAACAGCGCCCTTTTGTACTTTCGCTGCGCCGCTTGGCCGAGCTTTGAGCAGCCCACTTGTTGTGCTAAAGGAGTGGTCAACACTCGTGTGCGGATCCCATGTGGATGAGAGCAGCATATTGAGCTTGGCGGGACGTGCACCACAGCATCAATAAATCAGATGAAGCGATCGTCGCCTTCACCCACAATGCCCCACCAAATATCAGCGCGATTCGGCCAGCACTGATGAACTCGCCGCCAACACAGCCCAAGGCTCGTTCATCTCCGTTCGGTGGGAGGTTTCGCCACAATCGGGTTTCGTGACTTCCGGTGGGTTTGTTTATGCCCATCGATGCAGTGGCGTCCCACAACGTGATCATGCGGTCATCGCCTCTCTAAAAGCTCCGCGCGGAACCGACCCACCGCACACCACTGAATGTAGCACCTGCGCTCACCCCTCTGCCTGGACAATGTCACGTTCATCTCTATGCATTCTTGCAGCGGAATCACAGCGGGTGAGAAAGTGTTTTGCATAGGTATTTGATAGCGACAACACTTCCTACCATACGTCCGATCCTCGATCGTAGTTATCGTACGACACATGCGATGCTAAAAGTCCAGGCGAATCGGCAGCATGAGGAGATGAGACAGAGGAAGGGGAGAGCGATGCCTTGTATCGGCGGGGCTGCCAAAGCGGCCGTAGGCGCACGAGATGAACCCGCTGTTGGCGTGGGCGTCCTATTGTGAGAACGGGGCCGGTCCTCGTGAAACTTGCAGCCAATCTACTGCAGCCATTCAGCTCGACGTGAATCGATCGGCGAGCAGCTGCAAAGGCGTTCAATGTAGCTGAGCAGGATGGTGTCTCGTCTTGTCATCTGATATCGGAAGCTGTTTCACGTCTTGTCCTCTGATATCGGAAGCTGTAACGCTGAAACAAGACTCAGAGGCAGGGGCGGAAGCCACCGCATCTGGTTAGATTGCAGTCTCGCTGTTGCTCTCCAAGTGTCGTTACGAGTCACATATTGCTTCACCTTGCAGTCTGGAGTCGCGCAGGCCTAGGACGCTTCTCATGCACTCGAACGATGGTAAAGACATAAGGCCAGATTGCTACCTTGACTACAAAAGATCACAAGTAAATTAGGCGAAGTCGTGTCAAAATGCTTGGGAAAGGTAGCTTCGAGCCAAGACCACAGGGTAGGTAACCTCTAAGCGTCGTCTTCATCGCCCTTGGGAAGCTTCTTGTCGCCGTAGTAAGTGCAGTCGATGTAATCGCTGAGCTTGGTGCAGTAGTAGTTGCCAAGGATCGACTCGGAGCAGTTGATGCAGTTGGCGAGGATATGGTTCTTGTCGGTCTGGACGAACTCAAAGTCCTTGTTGTTTTGGAAGGTCTTGAGCACCTCGTCGCGAACCTCGGCGGTCACGTCGAGAGTCTTGCATCCGTGGTAGAGCGGCTTGACGTTGAGAAGATCCGTGCCGCGGGGCTGGGCGAAGATCTTCCAGTACTTGGAGTGGTGGTTCTTGACCTCGCTCCACGAGACAGGCCCCTTGACAGCGGTGACTGCCTCAACAGCAGCGGCGGAGGTGAATGTGGCACCCGCACCGAGAGCGCCAAGAGCAACAGAGACGGTGGATAGCTTCATTTTCAATGGGCAGGGAGTAGGTTGATGGGAGACTGGACGGTGTTGACGGATCGCAAAGAGATTGCCCTTCTGATGCCTAGGATGCCCCCCTTAGTAGCGCAGTTAAGGCGCTGAATCTGTCTTTGAACAATGGAACCTTCGCTCAGGGGTACGAGGAAGGCAAACCCACTGTCATAGACTCGAAAGGTCCGACCCCCACTAGACGAATTGAAGGAGCATGCAGGGATCGAGCGTCCACTTGACCCACCAAGTCCCACCCCCCACTGAGTCAAAACAATCGGACCGCCATACTGCCAGCCCGATGCAGATCCGCCCAGAACCTCGAGCCCCCACTCGCTACACCTCAAGCATAACGTTGGCGCACGAGCCATTGTGGCGTGCGATGTATCGGGAGCTGGCGATCTATGCGGAGGCAGAATTATACTAGTGTTACATTGCAAAGGGCCGGATGAACGAGGAGAAGCGAGATCAAGCCTCGAGCATCTCGCGGAACTCGCCGCTCTCGATGCTCTCCTTGAGGATGTCGAGGCCGCCGATGAGCTCGCCGTTGACGATGATCTGCGGGAATGTGGGCCACTCGTTGAGCTTCTTGAGGCCCTGTCGGACGTTTTCGTCCTTGAGAATGTCGTAGTGGCCAAAGTCGACGTTTTCCTGTCTCAAGAGGTTGACCGTCTTTTGGCTGAAGCCGCAGCGAGGCGTGTCCGGGTCGCCCTTCATGAAGAGCATGACCTTGTTCTGCTCCATGAGCTTCTTGCATCGCACAAAGATTTCCTCCTCGGTCTCTGGCACCACGTCCTCCTCCTCTTCGTCGTTGAGCGTCGAGCCGTTGCGCGTGGAGCTGGCGGCATCGTATGTGTCGGCAGCTGCTCGGGGCGCAGCAGAAGTCTTGGAGACGCTGCCGGTGCCGTTGGCGCGGGCGGGAGCGACATGCGTGGCGACGGCGGCGGAGAGTGCGGAAGCGTTGGCGCCGCTGATGCGCGAGAGAAGCGTGTGTCCTCGAAGCAGGACGAAGGAGGGGACTGCCTCGATGTCAAACGACTCGGACACGTCGGGAAGCGTCTCGGCCTCGATGACGAGGCAGAGCACCTGCGGGTACTTGATGGCGATCTCGCGGACAACTTCGTTCATCTGCTTGCATGGCTCGGCCCATGGCGCATAGAAGTTGAGCAGCGAGACCCTGGTCAGATCCTTCTGCATGATCTCGGTGAAGTGCTCTGGCGAGGTGACCTCGACCAGGTTGCTGGGACTGGCATCAGCAGCCTGCGACATTGTGGATGTGCGTGCGTGGAAGCGGGGAAAGAGGTGGAGAGTGCTAGACCTTGCTCGATCGTCCAACTTGTGCTACCAGTTCGGGTTTGAAGCGAGAGATGCACGGATGAGAAGGCGGATGGATGGCGGAATCAAGATATGAGGGTGAGGTGAAATGTTCTTGCGCAGTTGCGATTGCGTGAAGTCCAGTCACATCTTCTGCAGCTCTCGGAGCACGGTGAGCCACAATCCAACCGCCGCCGCCGCCGTGCAGAAGACCGCACAAGAGACCGCCCTCGCCGCTCGGATTCGCAATCCGTCGAAAAATCAGATAAACCTGCGACCGCCACTCGAGGTTGAGCCTCTCTCTCGCCGGTGGAAAAATCACGCACTCGCTCGCTTCTGGTTGGCTGGCTGCGTCGCACCCAGGCTCAGCAGTCAATCGCTAAATCCGAGGCGAGCGCCTCCACAGCGACACTTTTCGGATCGCGATTGCGACGCATTCTAAGCACGACCATCGGGCCGATGCGCTCAATGTGGCCCAGCTGCAGCGGGGAGCGTGCGGCTGCACGGAGCGAGCCTGTGCGCTCGTGCCTGTACGCTCGAGGGCCCTGCATGGACCGCTGGGTGTTGGTGTCGGAATGGAACACCTTCCCACCATGCGCCGATCATGCTACCTTTACCCTCATCTCCCGCTCAGGCCCCCAACAACAGCAATCAATGACAATGGCGCTCGAGCCGCAACGCCGCCCTCTTCTTCATCTGTCGTAAGGAGTCTCGACTCCGCCCTTGACTCATTCCCTCGTGGAGAGGCTCGTCGATCAGCGCATTCAGAGCCGGGCTCAGGCTCCACTGTCAGGTGCGGAAGGACGAATACGAATTCCGGCCTTTGATCCTCGTCATCTCTCCGCCATTTCTACAATCTCTTCAAAAGATGGCTCTGTATTAAGGCATCATCGGTACCTTCCTCTCATTCCCCTGGCGCTCAGCCAAGTCAACACACCATGATAGCGGATCAGGACGGGCCGACGGCCAGTCGCACCCAAAAGGGTCATGCCAAGACTCATTCCAGGTCCTTATCCCTCCGCGCTATTCCCATTCGACTGCGGCCAAAGACGGCACCCTCCTCCCCCGATCTGGGCGAAGAGCAGGCCTCTGGCTCGACAAAGCTGGCGCCTCCACTCCCTGAATCGCCCCGCATACGCCGATCTTCGGCTCCACAAGAGGGCGCAACGACACCCGAATGGCGTGCAAACCAATTCACCACACCGCTCGAAGCCGATGCCGAGTTTGTACGCAGAACATATGCGCACTTCTCCATAGCTGGCGTGCCCGACGATGGCTTCTCGGACGGCAAGGAATACACGCGAGAGAGGAACGGATTGTCGGCCTGGGAGGAAGCGGCACTCTCGCGTCCGAGCAGCCTCGTACCAGCTCGTAGACAAGTCGAGCCTCCTGCTTCTACCCAAGCATCTCCTCAAATCGTACAGTCGGACTCTTTCTCCAAAGCCGGTCACAGCGCCGCAGCGAGCCAGGCCAATGGTCGCATCAACGGCCATGTACCGCCGCGTTTGAACAACAGCGATAGCACACGCAGTGCCCTTTCGCAGCTCTCGTCTCAGAGTACACATGCCGACCCGCATGTTGACGGTCGCGCAGCAGTCGTAGCAGCTCAACTCGCAGACACCTCCGTCTCCAAGGCAACCTTCCTCTCGACAAACGAGCGAGAACGTCGACAGGCCGTCGCCGACAAGAAGCGTCAAGAGACCATCGCCAACATCGATCGATACGGATTCTTTTCGGGCCTTCCGGGCAATGTGCACCACAAAGCCACGCTGCTGTCAAGCAGCCTCTTCCTCGCTCCCTTTCCGCGCAAGGCCGTCAAGCTGCGCACTTCTCGTTCGTTACCCATGCCGAGCAGCCTTGCGCACCCTTCAGCGGCCTCTAGTATCGCAAACGAAGCCGGAGGAGATGCAGATCCGTCGCACGAGGTGCACCAAGTGCGCGCCGCAGCCGATGCAGCTCACCGTCAGCGCGAGCAGGAGAGGATCGCAAAGTGGACGCGCATGCTTACCGTCAAGGACCGCGACCCAGGCTTGAACGCAGTCGAGTTTGATTTCGCCAACGGCGTCGACCGGCGGCTGCGGCGGCGCGTCTTCAAGGGCATCCCTGACAGCTGGCGCGCTGCGGCCTGGTCGGCGCTCCTGCAGCGTCGGCGGCAGACAGATGAAGGGCGGCGGAGCTACGCGCTTGCCAAGCCGCACATCCTGACGGCGGCTACCCAATCGGACGACGAGAGCTTTGAGCGGCTCAAGCACATGGCTAGTCCGCACGACGTGCAGATCGACCTCGACGTGCCCCGCACCATTTCTGGGCATATCCAGTTCCACACGCGCTATGGCCAGGGACAGCGTTCGCTCTTCCACGTTCTGCACGCGCTCTCGATTCTGTGCGAGCAGTGCGCCTACTGCCAAGGCATGGGGCCCATCGCTGCGACGCTGCTTTGCTACTTGAGTCCCGAGCGCGCCTACGCAGCCATGGTGGCGATGCACAACCATGTCAACCTGCACACCACCTTTTCGCCCGGATTCCCAGGGTTGGTGGAAAACCTGTTCGTCCAGGACCAGCTGCTGCGCAAGTACATGCCAGAGATCGCGGCCACACTGGACGAGCACATGATCGTGGCGAGCTCGTATGCGACCAAGTGGTACATCACCTTGTTCTCCAACTCGATCCCGTTCGAGACGCAGCTGCGCGTCTGGGATGCCTGGCTGCTCGACGGGCAGGACGTCATCACGCTCGTGGCGGTCGCCATCATCTGGGCGCACCGAGGCGCCATCTTGCAGCCCAATGCGGACTTTGAGACGATCCTCAGTGCGCTCAGCAGCTTTTTCGTGCCCGAGAACGACGATGCGCTGCTGTTCTGGGTGCGAGACGCTCTGGCGCGCAGGGATGTACGCAGCTCCATGCAGAGGGCGCGCGACGAGTACCGCCAAAAGGCCGAGAGTGGCCAAGCTGCTGCTCTGATGCTCTGAGCATCTTATACACTTTCTCTTGTTTTGCAATCCCGATGTGTCTAATCATCCCAACCCGCCATGTGCGTGCACGAGAGGTGCCTGGATGGTCTGAGCGGGAGAAGTGAGGATGTGCGCGGCGTTGAGTTGGTCCGAGGGCGAGATGTGGAGAATCGTGTTTTGCGGGCAGGGTGGCGAGTCGCGAAATTTACGAACCTCCGAAGGCTTGCTGGATGACCTCCGCTCACTACTCGACTGCAGCGCTACATACCTCCTTCGAGCACCTTTGCTCGCACAAACCCGTTGGCAACTACCCGGCATCTCCTCCCACCCTGACACTGGAACCAGCGCAAGCAGCGCCACTATGTCGTACGCATCACCGCCCAGCTGATGTGCAGACGTTCGATCTAGAACCTCTGCACGTCTCGCGCATCCCGCACCGCCATCCGCTCGTCTTGTGAACATCCGCTTGGACTTGAAGCCTCGACAAGATGAAGGACTGGCGGCGATCTCCCGAGCCTGCGGGCATGATGGGCGTGAAGGACGCCGCGTACCAGGTGCAGGGTAACTGGGGCCAGCCCGACGAACTGCCAGACGACTTCGACCCTGCTGCACCGCTCCCTCCCACGCGGCGCCATGAGCCCGCAACAGACGCAGCATCTCGGCGCCTACCGAGCCTGTACTCGATGTGCCTGCGCGTGATCATGCGCAACATCTCTTCGGTCCAAGACC